CCCAGCTCCAGGCTTTGACCTGGCCCAGCCCTACACAGGCCCTGAAGGAAGTGTCCATGTTGGCTCCCTACACCTCACCTCTGCCTACTCCAGCCATAGTTGAGGCTGAGCAGAGGGGCTGTGGTATGACAGAGCTGAAGCCTCAGTTCCCTCCCACACCCAACTCCAGCTTCCCCCATGCTGCCCCAACCCAGCTGCCAAACATGCCAGGACCTGCTCTGCAAGCCTAGTGCAGTGTGGGGAGGGTCGACAGTGACAGCAAGGGATTGGGGGCATGTGCCCCACAACCAATCACAAGCTCAGGTAGACTCAGCTGCCCTCAGCAACGTCTGGCAGGCAGGGAGGTGTGCAGGAGCGCCCCCAACTTCCGGTCTTGGCCAGTGCAGGCATCTGTTTCCTCCCTCCCACAAAAGGAGACGTGTGTTCTGTTCTCTCCCAATCCAATCTACACAGTTTAGAGAAACCCACACGGACTGAATCAATTCCACCTCTGGATTTTTGACTGTCTGTACTTAGCCCTAAAGACAAACTATTTCCCACCTATGCTCCCACACAATGGCTCTTCTTTCTGACCCTCATCCAAGGCCCCCTAAAGCCTGTGGGAATTTTCCTACTGACTTCAGTGGGCTCTTGGTCAGCATCTCTCTGCACAGTGCACCTAAAGCTCTTCTTGTCTCTCTGTAAAAGGAAAGCTGACAGTCCACTTTCACATCTCACACAAACACATGCTCAACCTTTTTTTTTCCAGGGCAAAGACCAAGGGTCAAAGATCTTTCATGGAAAGCAACATCCCCACTTTGTCTGCTTTTGCACAAATTGTACCCTTCCTAATCCAAATGTGTGTCAGCAAATAACTTAAAACTTCCCAGGAGGGTATTTATCTGAGCTCAGGTCAGTAGGAGTGGCTTTAGAACTTAAATTGCTGGTATGTAAAGAGCAACAAACCATGTAGTTTATTTGAGCAGTGAGGTCTGAAAATAAGCATGAAACTTGAGGAAAAAGTTGTAAAAAGTTCACTTTGAATGATGAACATTAAACAATGTACTGTTATTTAAATAAACAAAGTTTATGCTCACCATTGATCAAAACTCAAAAAGTCCTCTTGTATTTCTGGGCTTCTTATTTCAGGCAACCAATAGTCACAACAAGGTCAAATCATTATCTATTAAGTGAGTTTGTCAGGTCTTAGGTATCTAATACACATCTCTTCTAGATGTCACACTTTACTGTTAAGGGCTCATTGGCACTCAGTGTAAAATAACAAAACCCAAGTTTGGGACCTGACAAAATCATTGTAATGATGGATGGTATAATCTCTTTTCATTAAAAAATTATTTGCAACCACTACAAAAGGAATTAATCAGCTGATGTACAGTGGAGAATTGTTTGTAGTGCAATCAGACATGTATTGCAATAAATTAAATGTTTAAGGCTTATCAAATAAAAAATCATGAAAAAAAGACTGAGAATCTATAATATATTATAAATTGTAAGTAAACTCTACTTGGAATTGTTAACATAGACTAAACTAAAATTAATAGCTAAAGATAATTATTTTTTCATCCCTGTCTATTAAAATGTGATTTCCTTTATACTGACCTACAAAGACTACTCAAAACCAGCCTGGTAAATGAATCAGATCTTGGTTAGTTGAAAGAGCCCCAAATGATAGAGATCGGTGCCTGCCTTTTCTCTATTTGGATCTTATGTACTCAGCCTAACTCAAATCAGATCAAAAGTTGCCTCACAGAGACAGAAAATCTATTTTACTTTTGGAAATGAATCCAGATGATAGCTGGATCACCCGCAACATCTCCTTTCCACTCAACATGCCAATAATTTCTAAACTGGGAGTCAGAGATTCATCAGCACAGCTCTTGTTCAGGGCCAAATCCTGGCCCCACTATATCAGAATGGGTTTTGCCATTGTTTCAATGATGTTAGTCTGTCACTCAGATGGTTTGAACAGCCTGTGATCAAATTCACTAACAGGACAGAATTGGGACTTATGTAAAGTGAACAAGCCCTTGCCTTTACACATAGGTTCTAGGAAATGATGAGTGCATCTGGGCAGTCTGTTCACCATTGTATCACCTTTTTTTACTCTAGAAGGGCACCATTTGGTGAGACTACATGTTGTCATTGTAATATACTGTACATTACCCAGCATTCTTTCTTGGTGAGACACGTGGATCTAGAGAAAGAAGCATAAAGACAGGAAGTCAGGAGACCTTGAGTTGTAATGCCAGTTGTGCTGTTGATTTACCTCGTAGTCTTGGGCAACCCATTTTAGATCTTTGGTTCCATTTCTCCATCTGCAAAACAAAAATAATAAAATTTACCTACCAACTTGCCTCAGAGGGCTGTTGACATGCTTATGTCACTGGGTTTTCCATAAAGCTCATCATCCTAGCTAGTAAGTGAATATGTAATGCACTACAGGAATACAAAGTACTATTCTGATGATGATTATGTGATCACATCTTCTGACATTAACATGCCACAGGGGCCAGGGAACTTTTTCTTCCTTTAACTTCTGAATACCAACCAGGCACACTGTATTTAGAAAAAAAAATCTAAACCAACCCTTGAAGACCATTTGGGAAATATCAAAATGTATTTTTCATGTCCCACGTTACTTGCAATGACAATTTGGCCGAGGGAAAAACCGAACACATAAGGTTTGTGTTTCCTTTTCATATGTAGCAAAGGCATAAATATTTTTTTCACTTTTGTATTAGCACAGAAACAGCCTGATTGTGTGGGACATGGTGAAAGGCAGCATCACATAAGGTGGATCACAACTCATTTGTCTTTCAAACCTTTTCATCTGAAAGATGAAAGGTAGATGAGACATCCGTGCTTCAGAATCTTGTTCTCTTGTCATTATTAAAATCATATGGTGCTTTTTGCAAAAGAAAGGGAATTAGTGTTGGTGCCATATTAAAACTACAGTATGAGTAATTACATTACATCCTGTCTAAAATTCCTATTTACATGCATTCTTCTTATTCTGTACTAAACTGATGCCTTATGTTGTTTAATGCCACAAAATAGCTGCACCAGTTCAGTGGTGGATAAAGAAATTCTTCACATAGGTAAGTTGTAAAGCATTTCAAGTGTTCTGCTTGATCAAAGGGTCAAATTGTATCTTAAATAATGTCATCTCTCTCCTACTAGCATATAGGTCAATATAGAATGTTTGAATATGGAATATATCACATGGCACAGAGACATAAACCACATATTCTCTAATCAAAGTGTTTTGCTGCAAAGGTTCGTCTTAGTGAGTGAGACCTTCTGGGCATTAATCATTTACATGAGCACCACCTATTTTACTTCAATCATTATGGACAAGGCAATGCATTGTGGGCCTATAGGAAGGTTGAAGCCATCCATTGCATCAAATTACTCAGAGCTGAGGCTAAATCTGAGCTCTGTCAAAGTGTTATAAAAATAACATTTTGCATCTTCAGCCTGAGGGTGAAAGGCTGAAAATTAAATGTAGTCCAAATGAACCTTTTAAGTGTGGCTTTAAAAAGTGAGAAAGAGACTGAGAGGTCCTGATAGAAGTCCAGAAAAGTAATAATGCTTCTGTAGTTAAGAAAGAGTAGTAAATATCAAAGGGCCCTTAGCAACAAAGCATCTGGTCAGGTTCAATCCAACCCTGAAACTGTGTCCTGATAAAGAAGCACTGCACTGAGGGATTACTCTTACTTTTAGCCTTAGCCGGAGGAACAGAACTCCACCATGTCCTTATCTGGCATTCCCTTCCCCAGTGTCCCTTCAGATGTGGGAGAGGAGGTGGCTGAAGTAGGACCCGTTTCTGCCAGCTTTATTATGAAAATTCTCTCCCATCTTTGCCACTCACAACCAGAATTTGGCCCACTTGTTCTGTTTGAATGGCATGCTATCAGAAAAAAAATGGCTTTCCATATTTCCTGTGTCAGAAATAAATGGCAGAGCACTATTTTGTTTTTATATATCTAAGAAAGTCTCTAAATCACTAAGAGCCATTACCAACCCTGCATGACCACATATGGACTTAACTTGAGATGTGGTTTTGCCAGGAAAGCTCTAACTGAAATATATGGGCCTTGCAGGAGCTCAGCATTTCTGGAAATCAGGCCCTAATAGTATGTAATGTTGACCTCTTTTGTGACCAAACAGTCAACTAGTAGTTAGGGCCTTATGGGATGATTTTTGGTACAGGAAGAAACTGGTGGCAATCAGGTATTTCCCTGATGCAAGCTCATTTATTTCCAAAGAATATACACAAAATCCTGGGTCCCTGAACAAAGCAGAAGCCAACAGCAGCAAGCAGTCTCCTTTCCCAGAGACAAAATTTGTCTCTCAGAGAGTCCTGTGTCCCCCAAAAAAGTACTATCTCAGCTTCCTGCAGGGCTACAGCACCACTTTTCTGTTCTGCTGACTTTCTGTATCTTTAACAGAGATGCACACAGCTGTAACCAATCAAACCCTTAGTCTAAGCATTTGCAACTGCTCCCAGGGAAACCTCTTAGCCCATACAGTTTAGCTTTTGATCATCCTTGCCATAGGACTCATTGCCTTGGGTGGTAACTTCCCATTGTTTCATTTATTGCTGTTTAAAGTGCATTTAATTACGCTTTCCATTTCCCTGAATAAAATGTGGTGAGTTCACCCCATGACTGTAACCAAACTCTTTATTAATCTATTGACAATAGACATGTTTCATGGCAGCTCTTAGCCTTCCAGCATAACTATAGCTCAAACAGTGAAGAGCGTGTGGCAGCATGCACACGCACAAATTACCAGTCTGTTTTAAGAAGCGTTTTAGAGTACTCCACTCTCTTCACCATTGCTTTCCTTCCACCACTTTCTTCCCAACAAACAGTCTTTAAAACATTCACAAATGTAGATGTGTATATATTACTCTTGCTAAGAATTACATTTAGGAGATCTCTCGTGCCAGGCTGTATGTAAACATTGATCTCAAGGGAGCTGGTTATTTAAAGAACCAGTCAGAGTAGTTGCTACTGCCACAACCAATTATAATTGCTTCAATTCACAGTTGCAAAAGAGAATTATTCATACTGCTAGATAACATTAGTCAGAGACAGATAGATGGACAGAAATAGAAGAAAAGCAGATAGACAAGTGGCATTTTGTTCTGCAAAGAATTTTAAATATTTGAAGAGAATACACTAATAGACATGAAAACACTAGGAGCATTTTATGAATAACCAGAATATGCTCTAAGAAAAAGTGCAAAAGGAACAAGCCTCAAAAGGTTAAATAGCCAACAGCACAGTAAAAGTCCTTATTTTCCTTAGAGCATAGATAATTCTACTGCCTTACTTAACCATCAGTGTGCTAGTTTGTCTGTCCAGAACCTATTTTACTTTTAGATCCAACAGTTGTCTTAGGATGTGTCTATATAGAATAGTTAGCACAGAGTAAGCTAGAATGTGAGGTTATAAGCACACTAGCTACGAGCATATGGATACTTGTAGTGAACACTAAAGGCATGTCTACGCTGACAAGGCTTGTCCTGACAGTCTCAATCAACCCAAAACAAGTGAGCCAACATACCCCATCTGTACCATACCTAATAGCCTGCAGCCAAGCTGTCTACATGGCACTGCTTAGAGACAGAGCAAAGCCTTTCTAGGAATCAAACTCTAAAATACTTGTGCCTCCTTTCAGCTTCACGGCTACTTACAGGCGGTAGAGAAAGAAAATTGGGTGTAGAAGGGCCAGCAGACAAGAACAATGAATTAGCTCATTTCCTGTGTTCGAGGCCTGCAACGCCCAGGAAAGTTCCAAATACACTGCAGAAAGCAGTGAGCAACAGGCAGTGAGGACCGTAGCCAAACTCATAACTGGTAGCTCAGCAGAGAATTCAGTGTGTGGAAACACAAACACACTTACCGCAGTGTGGCATCCAGTGTGCAGGAAAATTGGTCAGCACCCCACAGCCAGAAGGGGTCCTGCAAAGTGGTCTGGCCCTGGAGAGCTCCTGGGATAAATGGAGCTCCTTGGCAGTAGCTCTGGAGAGGAAGAAAAAAGAGAGCGCAGGAAGTGCTGCCTGGGACCGTCCCCGCAGCCAGAGCAGAACCAGCATGTCACTGGAGCTGGCTGCCAGGCAAGGCTGCTAGAGCCCAGACTGCAGCACGAACTCCCCCGTGGAGTCTGGGAACTCACCTACCTGCGGCACCAGAGCCAGGAATCCTTCCTGAGACAGGAGGCCCTGGAGGATGCCACAGACGGCCAGAAACCTGTGGAGTAGCATCATGACAGGTGCAACTGATGAGATGAAAGACATGGGCCAGGCTGACACCTACTCACACCCCACGCTGCTGACAGGTACTCTAAGGGCAGCCAGGATGGCAGGAGAGCAGTTCAGGAGTGTTCAGGAGAGAAGCTTCCACAGGGAAGCAGACTGCAGGAAGCAGTGCCTAGAGAAAAAAAAAATGCTACCCAGAAGGGTGAGAAGATGCCTAGCCCTGAAATTATAATTTATGGGAAGTGAAATTTGTGAAGGCAGTATGCATATATTTTAATTGTACTTGTATATGTTTGTTTATGTTCCTTGTACAAGTACCAGGCTGGATGTGGCTATAAAGGGGTATTAGGAGGCCACAGGGGTACCTGAGGGGCACGGGAGCAGGGCATAGACAGGCTGAAGCCAAGAAAGTCAAGGAGTGAACCCACAGAGGGGTCGCACAGGTGACTAGGGGTTGAGAGGGCCAGAGCTGGAGCCCAGAGGGGCAATGCCATCAGCCTGAGGCTGAGGGGGCCAGAGCCAGAGCCCCAAGAGGGGCAGCACAGGCAGCCAGCAATCAAGAGGGCCAGAACCAGAACCAAGAGGGCCAAGGGTCAAGGGCTCAAACAAACTGCAATGGCCCCAGGCCAGAGAAGGCTGAGACAGAAAAGCCAGGCCAAAGCCAATGGGCCCAGGCTACCAGCCTGCAGCCACAGTAGCCCGTAGGTTGAGGGTAAGAAGGCCAAAGCATATACAAGGGAATAACTAGCAACTAAGTTATTGCTACACCTTGGAGAAATGGGCATGGCTGCAGGAGTGGAAGGAGGCCACAAATTTAGCACGTAGGGCCTGAGGGAGAAAATACTGAGAAAGGGAGTGGGGAGCACCCTAGGCTCACCAACCTCCAAAACAGCCCTCATTACTTTCAGCAACAAGGCATGTCAGGAAAGGAAGCAGGGTGAGACCCTGGGAGGCAGGAATGGGAACTGGGCAGGATCAAGGTGGCCACTAGGATGCACCACGGCAGCCCTTGGATGCTAATCCCATCACAGTCCTGAAAAGCTGAAATCC